ATTTGTCTAAGAGACCACCCGAACTCTTCCTTGGGATGATTTGTCCAAGAGACCACCCGAATTCTCCTCACTCTTTTCTTGACTAGAAAACTGAATGCCTTTATTTCAATTCGTAACTCCTTAAATAGGAGATTACAGATGAAAATTCCTAATTAAACTCAAACTCCAACTTGAACTCAAACTCCTAATTGCCTACTCCTAATGGTAACACAATTCTTACTTAAGATAAGATAAAGATAAGGATAAGATAAGATAAGGGATAAGGAATGGTGAAGCTGGCGGCGAGTTGGCGGGTATAGCTGATGTGGTAAGATAAGTGTGGGCCCACCCTGATGAGCGTGGCCCCGCCCTACTACTGCTGCCGGGCAGTGCGCGTGTCTTGCAATGTTGCTGCCGTGAGGAGCGTGTTGCTGCCTAGTGCTGCTGTCGTGCGGTGCGTGTTGCGCGCTGTCGGGTGGTGCGTGCTGTGCGCTGCCGGGCGGTGCATGTTGTGCACTGCCAGGCAGTGCATGCTGTGCGCTGCCGGGCGGTGCATGTTGTGCACTGCCAGGCAGTGCATGCTGTGCGCTATCGGGCGGTGCGTGCTGCATGCTGCCAGGCAGTGCGAGCTGCGCGTTGTCGGGCGGTGCGTGCTGCTGTGCACACTGCCGGGCGGTGCGTGCTGCTGGGCGGCCCGTTGTGTGTGCTGCTGCCTATGCCTGCGCTGCCGGGCGGTGTGTCCATAACATCACACCCCTCCTGGACTACGAGCTTGTCCTCAAGCTCGAATTCCGGATACGTGGCTTGGAACTCTGCGAATGGATCGAACGGCTACACACTATTTCTCAGTCCACCAACAGTATGAACAACAGGGTTGTCCCATAGCTCAGTGCATAAAGCTGGTTCCATTCTTTTGCATCAATCCCATTCACGATGCCCTTCAGCTTCCAATCAAACTCATTTATTATTTGATGCAGACCCTAGCCACCTCCTTTAGTTTCCAGCTCCCAGGCGTAACCATGGCTTACAGTGACTACGCAATCTGCTGCTCTCAGGCCAGCTGCAAGGACATTGAAGTGTTCCCTACCTCCTGGGTCATATAGTTTGAAGTAGTTTTGTGGAAGATCCACATAACAAAAATCACGTACTGGACCACGACCTCGGTGTGCTATGTTGTGGATCACAGGAATGCACCGGGTATACTTACAGAAGAGAACCTTAAGAGCAGCCTTACCGAAGCGAACCATGCGTTTTAAAATATCCCCTTGGCCTCCCCCATATATATTTTTCTCAATATTACGGAACATAGGGCTGTCTATGAACACAAAATCCATGCCATCAATATAAGCTTGAGAGAAAGTTACCTCCATATCCTACCCATCCACCTCATATCTCTTGTGCACTCCTGTTTCTTGGACTTTTACATAGTTACCCTCCCCGGCCAAAGGAGGAGGCTTTACAATTTCATCCTCCGTGTGTTGGTTATGAAAGAATTGCTCGCAACGGTATAGCCATCCCAATGGGTCGCCGCTGCCGCTGTATGAGGAAGACTCCAAATGGCTATCCTTGGAAATAACTGCGGCTGTCGAGGTAGCGATCTGCTGTTCGCTGGATGCCTCCGCCCTGTCCGGACGGCAACTGTTTGTGTTGGCGATTCCCTCAGAACTCCCTTCTTTGTTGGAGAGGAATGCTTCCAGCAGGCGTCGCATCTCCCGGACATCTTCCTTGACTTCACGAACCTCCATGCTGGTTTCTACTAGCCTATGTCCCAGTTCGTTGACCTTGAACGATAGCTGCTCCATATCGCCCGTGACGTTTGGCTCTGATACCAAATGTTATGGTTCCGCGCGTAGGATCTCGTCACGGGTCGGTCCACGATGAGAAAGCCCTGCTTTCCCTTGCGCCCTCCCTTGCGTGCAGACCCTATTGCGGAAACTGAATGGGTGATTTGTCTAAGAGACCACCCGAACTCTCCCTTGGGGTGATTTGTCCAAGAGACCACCCGAACTCTCCTC